CCTAACAGTTCATACATGCCATAAGCCATATTTAGATAGCTATAATAGTTGCTCATGTGATAAAACCACTAGGACTAGTACCATCAAATATCTCGGTGTAACTATTGATCAGCACCTTACCTGGAGTCAACACATTGAAAACATTGCTGACAGGATAAGGAAACTAACATGGGTATTCAAAAAACTCAGGTGTGTTGCAAATGAAACAACTCTTATCACCACCTACAAAGCTCTAGCGCAATCGATAATGAGTTATTGCATACCTGTTTGGGGTGGTGCAGCAAAAACACATCTAATAGGACTAGAAAGAGCTCAAAGAGCTCTAATTAAGGTGATGCTCTTGAAACCGTTTCCATTTTCAACTTTTGAACAACATAAGTCTTACAAATTGCTCACTACTCGCAAAATGTATATATTAAATTGCATTTTAAAAAAGCATCGACATTCACCTTTTATACCTCATCAGACACCAAAACGTAGGAGTACCAAAATTTGCAATATACCACTAAATAAAACAAAGCTTAAGCAAAAGCAATACGTATTCCAATCTATATCTATTTACAAAAAATTCAACAGCAGATTGAATATTTACCCTTTGACGTGGACTAAAGTTAAACGTGTAGTGACACAATTTTTATTAACACTAAACTACGAGGAAACTGAACAATTTATTACATAACCTTTATACTTCGACAGCCACACCAATTGTTAAAGCACTACCACACAACCACAAAAACACACACACACACACACACACACACACACACACACACAAACGCGTGCATGCTTTGCATGCATGCTTATCATGTAATTATTATTATATTCCAAATTTCATTTACTTCCTAAAGCTAGATCTTGCCTTGCTTTTTGTTATTTATTGATTAACATTGTATTGTCTTGGTGGATGAGCGGGTACCCAGTAATACAGGTTCCCAACTTAGTACAGGGGCCCTTGCGACTGGATTAAAATGTATCATTGTAAATCAATAAATCCTTTTTCATTTTCATTTTCAATGTTTGAATTTTTAAGCTATTGCATAGCTTCTATCGCGGGCCTTGAGCGCGGGGACCGAATCCAGAAATTCCGTAACGAAAAAAAACCTCACGCTCCCCACTCCGACGGGTACGGAGGTGTGGCGTTGAATGCCGTGCATCGTCTAACGTCGTTTTAGTTCGGCAGACTTCGGCACTCGGCAGACTTCGGCACGGTGTTTGTGTGCGTGTACACTAGCTGCTAACTCAATGATAAAAATTCCTGTATAACCTACATGTATTGTAAGATGTTAAAAATATTTTAAACAATATTAACTTCTCATTTATTCAATAAGAGAAAAAAAATTGTTTTTTTATCGGTCACCACGCTCAAAAAGTGTAACTTGATTTAATATCAAAGACTTAACTGCATAAATAAAATAAATAAATAATTATAATTGCATAAGTTGATAAAAAATGCTATGCAATAGCTTTACCGTGGCAGTCACCGAGTGCCACACGTATTTTTTTTATTAATCTTACTTCACCATTTGCCTATATTAGTTATTCTGAACCTTCTCTGCAAATTTGGCCAGTTAAATATAAAGACAAAAGGTTAAAGATATAAATTAGTTTTTACGGATATATATATATATATATATATATATATATATATATATCCTTGTTGTATTTATACTCTTTTATTAATTTATTATTTTTGCCCAAGGTCCATATGCAGTAGGTAGTGGAATAGGCTCTTGGGTCTTGGGCGATGAGTGGGACCGTTGCATACAGTTTGCTGAAATTTAAAAAAAATCACTGAAATTCGAATGAAAATCACCGATGTTTTTGCTACGCTTAACAGTATCTGCTGATTTGTTATTAGGAAGGTGCTTGTTCTGTCGTAATTTGAGACGGATTCTTTTGCACAAAAGATACTAAGAGAAATTATTAAGAGAAGCTTATGGTGACAGTTTGCTGGTCTATTGAGGATGCTATTCACTAAAACTTTTTTCCATCTTGTACCAGTGCTACTGCTGACCGTCATTGTCAAGAATTACAAAAGATTGTAGGGAAGCTGGCACTCAATTAACACAGAACAGTGAACAGTTCTCTAAACAGTTCAAGAGACCCCTCCTCATTTATCCGTTTTTTTATTTTCCAAAGCTTGCTGCAACACTCTTCCACTTTTTACAATGTTTTGATAACTTTCTTATCGGAAAAATAATTACGATGAACAAAACTGCCGATAAAATGGCAACAACTTCTTTTGAACAATGTTTAAATTTTCCCCATAAAGGTAATTTCATAGGTAAACATCTAAACATTTTTTGTCGTGAAAAATATGCAAAATACATAAAACATACATATGTACTTGTATTTTTTTTAATATATTTTAATGTTTGAATGTAAAAACAAATTTTCTAAAAATGCAATGACTAACATCAAAATTCCCATTATTTCATTGTTTACAGTTAATTTTGCCATGTTTAAGGAACATTAGGTTTGAATGTTTAAAATGCTAGTTAATGCTTACTCAGAAGATATTCCAGTTACTTCTTTCTCCGAACCAAAGTAACCGAGTTTCACTCGGCATTAGAAGAAAAAAAATGAGATGACACCTATCTAGATTTGAGTAACGAGTCTAGTAAAACATCGACTAAATATAAAATTTTATCACTCATTTTAAATTATTAACATTTCTTATCTATTTATTAATATTTATATATTTATTAACATAACAAAAACACTAGAACTAAAACATTAATTATTATCATGGCTATTTACTGAATGGCTATTTACCATTATATTATTTACCCAGCGTTTGAGCGAGTAAAGTACCAACTCTCCTACTATCTGCGGCGACAAGTCCCGGACACTTTACTTAGGAACTTCACTGTATGTGGACCCCATTCAACGATATTTTCTTTAGCAAATGGAGCAAATATGTATTTATCTCTTGGAGGCTCGTACTTGCGCCACTTAATCAGTTCTGACCAAGTGGACTTCGCCTGTAAATATTCCACAAAGCTTTAAAAACAAGTAAGTATTTATACGAGGCGAAAGCCCTTCGGCTAACTTCGTTCGGAGAACCGTGACGGTACAACCTACCAGCATTTTTCTTACATGAGAGTCCATGGTGTCCAAACTCGTCGACACCGCTACTTCAGAGGTTGACAGACTACCACTCCTAGTCGGATTTTTACAGCAATGTGCAAACTTCACACGTAAAGTAATGTGCCGAGTTACCATGGAAATTGTGAAATAGATCTTTTTGCACACTTGGTACCGACGGGATAATCCACTGTTTCTGTTGATTAACTTCCAGTGGAACACTCTTGATGGTACAGTGTTTTCCATGTCCGTTTGTCTTCGCCGCAAATCACAGGTACATAAAATAAATACATCACTGGACACTAGGCATGGAAGGAAGAAGGGCGGGCAACGCAACGTTAGAACAATTACTTACACCATACCCCCAAATTTTACAGATAACCATCTTGAGTCCAGGCTGTTGTATTAAGAGATAAATTTAGAATTTTTTCTATAGCTATTTTAAGATTAATGTCAACGTCATCTCAAATATCCGAAAATTTCATATTAATAAGTACGTAAATTTAGTTGCAGGAAGACAACACTTTAAAATAGTAAAGGCAATGGCTTTGAGATATAAAATTTTCATATCTGAGTATCCAAATTCAGAAAGTTACAGTCAATTTTAAATATTCTTCCTGTTACAAGCAGTATCTTCTGCAGTGCCTCTGGCATGTTTGCAGAGGCGCGCACTGCCTGCGCGTCACTGGTGCGCAGAGTTCAGGCCAGCTCCAATATTATCCTGAAAATGATAGGAGACAGATTGGACTGCCCTCTCCTCTGGCATTGCTGTGACAGACATTTTCCAGTATTTGTGGGAGTGAAAGGGTCATCATCATCATTACAGCCCTTCACAAGTCCACTGCTGAACATAGGCCTCCCTCAAGTAATGCCATAAAGCACGGTCCTGAGCCTGAGTATAGATTACCTACTTTCTGATTTTTACGACTACATCAAACTTACAAGTTTCATTAAAGCAATTATTGTACTATAATAATTATACTTTTGTGTTTGTTTTTATTTTTAATTTCAAACACCAGTCGGATCTAATATGATGTCATGTTTTATTATAAAAATGACCTGAATAAAGAATACGTACAGTAATGATACCTCATGTTATTATTGCTTTAGATATTTTAAGCTTAAAGATAACCCTTAGAATATATCACCCTGGACCGTCGTAAACAATTCAGTTCTAGAGGTGCAACTATACTGATATCTTGTGCCTTGAAATATTTTATTAAAAAAAATTGAATGTACGAATATCAAGCACGAATAACTGTTACGAACAATATGGCTGAAAACGGTGACGTTCATAAGAAGTCTTTTAATGGAACATGCACTGTTGGATTAAACCGAAAATGTAGAGGGACTATAGCTAAAAAAGCAGAGGCGTATTTGAAAGCTGTGAGCACCAGTCTCGGCGAACCATCCCATGGTATGTTTCATGAAATTATTTCTATAAGCATACCTCGGCTATAAAAAATAAAAACTTGGTTGTAAGAATAAATGTATGTATTACATCTTTGCTTTTATTTTTTGACATCAAAACAGATCAAGGAATAAATTTATAAAAAAAAATCAAATGCATGTTAGGACACCTGAAAAAGCATAACAAACGAGCACTTCTACGTCTATTTATGATGCACTTGAAAATAGGAGTTTCTTCTTTCTCGTATATGAGAAACGAGGAAATCCATATTTTCATACTTTAGCAGTATAAAATTTGGTAGATTTTAAAAAAGGAAATCAAGATGAATAAAAAAAAGGATGTACCAAAATTATTGGAGTTGAAAAACCCTCTTGCATAAACCAATATTTTGAAGAATCTAATAATTTATAAAAGAGCGGAAAGGACACTGATTGTGCAAGTATAGCTTACTCATACCAGTATACTTAGCATAGTAATACTAATATTATTATTTTGTCTACAGTGACGTGTGTACAGAAGCCAGGCCTACCGCATATGGAAGTGGTGTCCCGAATTTCTGCTATCCCTATTGTGGAATCGGGAATTGGAGCTGCCGAAAAAATATACTTTAGAATAAAGGTAATAAACTGCCACGCCACGCTGCAGTTATATTATGGTTGTAGCACCAATGGGTCGGCTCAATCGGGGAAGGACCACGCTCTCACAGAATTTTCCAGATTGTAAAAGTACAACTAAATTTTTTCACACAGGATTCAAACCCAGTTTTTCGATGGTATCTGACTCTTGGAGAGAAGTCATTTTATATTGGAGTCCAGTTAGCGCTGCCCGCTGTCCAGATGCTGGAGACGCCCATACAGCAGCTCGACAAGTTGCTCTGCAAGTCGCTCGATGTTGTGGAGAAGAGGGTGCCTTCAATTTATCTGCCACCGCAAGATGTAAGTTATACAGTAAAGTTGTTAATTTAAGTCACGACGCTTTACCAACTTCTGTTGCATCACCACTGTGTCTATATTATTTGCAGTAACCACTTACCATCAGATAAACCATTAGCTCATTTGTAAGTTATTTACATGTTACGGGTAAACTTGCAAGTGAGTAAACCTAGGTTTAGCCTTCGTGGTAATTTTTTTGAATGCCCAGAAATAAATGAGCACCCAGAAATCCTTACAGTTGTGTTAAAGGACAGACCTGCTCCCTTCTCCTCCCCCTCCTGCCGGAGAAGACACCTAACACTACCCAGGCACCGTTGGGTAAGTTAAGGTTTAATCGGGTAGACTCCGAATCTGTATTGATTTTGGTGATATTTCGGGCTTTACCCAAGGGATTTAAATAAAACCGAGTGTACCCGGGTAAACCTAGGTTTATTCACTCTTCTAAGTTTACCCGTAACATATATTAAATAAATGAAATTGAATATTCTGTATGTAATGCTAAAATAACTGCATTTTATCGAGTTTATGTGGTTATTTGTATGCCATTATGACAAATAACTTAGTCATTTGTAATTTTTTTGTGTCTGTCAGTCTGCCTATGCAGGCTAATCTTTGAAATAGCTGAACCGATTGTAATGAACGTTCACAAGCAGATAGAAAGCAGTGCCAAGAGTGATCTTAACATATATTTTATACGAAATACTCCAAGTTTTTTTTAATGGAAAAATTGATAAAATAAATGGTCATTGACGATTATTTGAAAAAAAAATGAGGCCATATTAGATTCACAAAAAACTCGGGCTTTAATTATAATAATAAATGAAGTTGAGCATGGATGGCTTGTAGACTTTTCTAGACTAGTACCACAGAAATAATAATAATAAGACAATAGAAATTAATTAACGCTCGATTACTTCCAAAACCGAAATCGTCATATTTTACCGTATTAAATACATACGCAATGCACAATGATATCTAATGTTTCACATTACATTGCTTGGTGAGTGTCAAAGTCGCGTGCTTCGCGTATTACGGTAGAACAAAAGCAGCAATGGTAATTGTACAGTACGAAAAGTGATAAATGAAAGTTTACAAAGGTAAATATCATAGTTAAGTATTCATCTAGATGTAAATTTGTTAAAACAATGATAATTAGTAAATAATCAATTTACCGATGAAATGCCTTTATGAGTATAATTACATGTCCTTGATGATCAGTATAATAACTGCAGTATAATCAGTTTTACAACTGATTATACTGCAGTTCACCATTATAAATTTATAATAACATAAATTCACGTACATCGTTCCTCGCGCAACTAACTCACAAAATGCTGAATGATATTCGTCAACACATCATAGCGACGACAAGGTCACGCGTCTATGCGACTTCTATTGTCTTATTATTACGATTTCTGTGGTTAGTACAGAATAAGTAAAAAATATATGTTTTTACAAAAACTCAGTACTAAGACTCACTATATCTAATCCACCCCGTCGTCATTCATCAGATGTATTCTGAGACCCGTCAATACGTGCTCCGGCGTGCGGATTCCGTGAAACAGCTCGGCACCGCGGTGCTGGACTCCCGCATGACCGCGGTCACAGCGACTGCGCTGGATCGCGCGCTCAGCACCGCGGATAAGTATGTCGACAAGTACCTCCCGCCTGACCACCGCGACGCTGCCGATGGTGAGTACACTAACGCTAAATTTTAACTTATTTACCTTCTAGCTGATACCCGCTCGCTTCGCTGGGAGCACGATAATCTTTTATTGCGGAACCTACATCTAAAATATCAATATTTTTTTGATGGGACTATCGTAAATTGCTTTTTTAGTTTCAATAAAATAGTCTATATTACGAAATGAGTGACTATACTAAATTTCAAGTCAATCGAGTGTATAGTTTTAAATATATCGTGATGAGTCAGTCAGTCAATCAGTGGTATATCGCTTAGTATACTGGATGATCTTTTTTTACCGTCTGGAAAAAATAAGGTGTTGCATGCGAACGGATTAAAAGCCTATGGCACTGATATTTAAAAAAAATAAAAACAAAAGTTTTGAATTAAATAAATAAATTAATTAAAATCTATCAAAATTCAAATCATATCCACCCTACTTTAAGAACGGCAATAGGCATATTTGACTTTGTCACTTCGTAGAGTCACAGGTTCAAGGGCAAAGGGCAAAGTAATTGTTCAAAATTTCAAACGTTTTATTCAAAGTTTTTGTTTTTATTTTTGTAAAATATCAGTTCATAGGCTTCTACTCCGTTCACATGTTACACCCTATTTTTTCCAGACGTTAAAAAAAGGTCATGCAGTATACATATAGATTGTATTAAATGACCTATTTATAAGGCCAGATTTAAGGGAAGTGGGTGCCTCTATATTTTTTTTATAAAAGAGGGGGCAAATGAGCATGCGGCTCACCTGATGTTAAGTGACTACCGCCGCCAATGATCAACCGCAACACCAGGGGAATTGCAGGTACGTTGCCGGCCCTTTAGAAAGGAGTAAGCTCTTTTCTTGAAGATCCCCAGGTCGTATTGGTCCGGAAAATTCGCCGGTGGTAAGCTATTCTACAGAGAGGTCGTACGCGGAAGAAAACTCCTTTTGAAACGTACAGTGGTGGACCGCCAAGCATCCAGATGGTGTGGATGGTATCGGGACGTTTGCCGCGTAGTGCGTTCACGAAATTTGGCGGATGGATTAATCCGAACAATTCCTCAGAGCACTCCCCATGGTATATGCGAAAGAAAATGCAAAGAGATGCAACATCTCTTCGCAGCGCCAGTGAATCGAGCCGAATGGAAAGCACTCGGTCGTCGACAATTCGAGCCGCTCTGCGCTAGATGCGGTCAAGTGGAAGGAGCTGGTATTGGGGAGCCCCAGCCCAGAGATGGGAACAGTATTCCATGTGCGGCCGAACCTGCGCCTTGTCAAGTTGCAGGCGGTGTGCCGGCATGAAATACTGTCCCGCTCTGCTGAGCACGCCAAGATTTTTAGAGGCCAATTTGGCCATCTTTTCCAAGTGACCACGGAATTGCACGCATCACCAGTGCTGTCATCTGCATAGCAATGAATGTTACGGGGTTGCAACATATCATTGATATGCAGAAGAAACAACGTTGACGATAGCACGTAGCCTTGTGGAACACCAGCATTAATAGGCTTGTAATCGGAGCTTGCACCGTCTAAAACGACTTTGATGCTCCGATCTACAAGAAAGCTGGTGATCCAATCGCACAATTTCTCGGGAAGCCCATAGGAAGGGAGCTTCGAAAGAAGCGCTTTGTGCCAAACCCGATCGAAGGCCTTTGCAATGTCCAAACTAACGGCCAATGCCTCCCCCTTGGACTCTACTGCCTCCGCCCATCTGTGAGTTAGGTAGACCAGAAGATCACCAGCTGATCGACCACGACGAAAGCCGTATTGACGATCACTAATCAGCTGGCGATCCTCCAGGTACCTCATGAGCTGGCAGTTTACAATGGACTCCATTGTTTTGGAGAACTAGGAGGTGTTGGCGATAGGCCGCTAGTTGGACGGGTCTGAGCGGTTGCCTTTTTTAGGGATCGGGTGGATGAAAGCCGTCTTCCATGATTGAGTAGGAGTACCGGAAAAGACGCGTTAAAACCGGTGCCAACTCTGGAGCACACGTCCTCAGCACAATTGGGGGGATTCCGTCAGGTCCACTCGACTTGTGGATGTCCAGGGAGAGGAGTGCTTTGTGAACCGAGCGCTGTGTAAACTGCACTTCCAGCATGGAGCACTCACACCGCGGGATGGTCGGCAGCGTACTCCCCCCGTCATCGAGAGTCGAGTTGGACGCAAAGAAAGAGGCTAGCAGATCGGCTTTCCCCTATGTGGTATGGGCCAGTGAGTCGTCCTCCCTGTGCAGAGATGGAAGAGATGGCTGAAAGTAATTCTCCTGGACAGCCTTGGCGAGAGACCAGAACGCACGGGTTCCAGAAGGAAGGCGAACTAGTTTCTCGCCAATTCTGCCTATGTGCTCTGACTTTGCATTGGCAATGATTCTTTGGAATGACCTAGAGGCGGAATTATACTTCTTTTTTAGAGCGCTGGTGTTTACATCCCAGGAAGTTGATGCGTCAGCCCAGGCTTAGTAGCACTCCTGCTTATAGCATGATGCTATTTTACAGGAACGACCAAACCATGGCTGAGATTTGCCTCCTCCTTACCCTGTGGTGCCCCCACAGAGTAAGGAATAAAAAATTCCATACCCTGAAGTACCATCACATCAGCGACAGAATCCGCAACGACGTTGGGATCGTCCGGCGAGAAGCAAACCCGCCCCCAAGGGTAGGAAGAAAGACCGCATCCCATCCCAATCGGCTGATCTATAGAGCCAAACACGGCGGCAACCTGCAGAATGCAACTGCGATTTCAGCGTGAGTAGCACCACACTCCGGACAAAACCATGGTCCGAGGAGCCTAAAGGGGCGTCAACGGAAATCTGATATCCGCCCGGGTGAGAGGTCAGCAGAAGGTACATGATCCTCCACATCTGGAATCCGGGTAGGCGAAGTAACCAGCTGTGTCAGACCATATGCCAAGGCAAAATCATGAACAGATCTCCCCGCATGATCGGTTAAACGTGAACCGAGCCATTCGGCGTGATGGGCGTTAAAGTCGCCAAGGATCACGATCTCTGCGGAGGGGATCTGCTGTAGCAACGAATCTGTAGCCATTTGGACGTGGTCGAAGAGTCGGTCTGTTTCGGCATTACCGCATGGGACCTATAGAGGCACCCGTAGACGCGCGGATGGTCGTCGCTGTCTAAGCATAGCCAAAGGATGGACAGGTCCGAACCTTTAAGACTGCCGAGGCGTCGAGAACAGATGCCCTCTCTGGCGGAAACGCAAACTCCACCCGAGGCACAAAGGAGTGTTCCAGTTTGTACCCCGGGCACAAGACATCAGCCGGAGAGGACACCTGCGTCTCGGTCAGAAAGAGCAGAGCCGGTCTCGCCGTCTCGAGATGGTAGTGGACGGCGTTTAGGTTAGAGTGAAGTCCCCTGATATTGCAGAAACTCACGGACAGCGTGGCAGGGGTCGCCTTGGACCTGTTGCTCCGTTTGCACCGAGCAGTTGTAGTCTTAGAATTTCACCCCCCCCCCCCGAATAAGCGGGGCAGCCTGAGCACCCAAGCTCAGAAGTGGAGTAACTTGGTCGTGGATGCTCAGCGAGGGATTCTCCAGGGGTACTGGTACCCTCCTAAGGTAGTTTTACATTTAATTCCGCTACCATGTTGATGTGGGGGGGGATGTGTGCCTCCGGCCACCTGCACTCACCACGGAAGCAGTGCTCCCACTTCACGATGGTATTCTGTGAGGTCGTGGTACCACCCCGGTTTGAGCCGGCCCATACGTGCAACAGCAAAGCTGCCGCATGGCTCTACCACTGTTAAAATTACATTCGTGAAGCCTTCTTTAAGAGGATATCCGAGCTGTAACAAAGTTGAAGAATTAATTTTTAACGATATATTGTTGTACGAACTACCGAGCTAGACAAGAAATATAACTGAAGTCGGAATGATTATTAAAAAAACGATGAAATCATCATAACGTATTCTCCTGTTTCCTCCTAAACTAAAAGCAATCAATTTTTTTGTTAAAAGTAATGTAAGAACGATTATGTTTTTCTTATATTTGTATATCCGTTAAATTTGTTTAATAGATATCTCGGCGTGATATGCCGAGATATCTATTAAACAAGTAATTTAAAAAATTGAATTTCTTAAGAAAATAGATATGGATCGTATCATAAAAATATTTGCTCAATAATATCATTATTCAAGGCGAAAAGAGAGGAATATGTTTGAGTATGTACTAAACCTGTGCCGCGTCGCCCAGATGGATTATTAAGTTTTCTAGTGAATTTAAGTAATGGGATGCAAGAATGAGAAATTGTCCTCAAAAGCGCTCGTCTTTACCAAGTGTTTACTAAGTGAAAAAGCAGTTTCATTCGAATGTAATGAAATCAATTTCAATTAAATTCAGGCTACATGTTCATCCATAAATACGTGAGTGATTTATGGGTTTATTTTTCAATAAAAGAGTATATATCATTTTAAAAAGAAATATCAAATAAATATTGTACGATTAAATAGCGCGCGGGCCGACCAAACAGTCCATATAAAGCGTGAAAAATCTACTTTTGGCGCCCACTTCACTTTAAGATAGCCAGCCTATGAGATATATCAAAAAGATCTTATGATTTCCAAAACGTGGCTTTATAACTATAAATATCATTCGAACTCGTCAGTTAGCACGGTTCCACGGATCCAGGAAATCTAATTATATAACTCATTCTATACTTAAACTTATACAACATAAGAGTAAATAATATTCGCAGACAGTTCACGCACTGATACGTGACTGTGTTTGTGACCCGGACATCTGAACTCCTGAACTCGTCGTCTAAAAGCCGTCTAATTAGGCTTATCAACCAACCGCTCGCACTACCCGACTACTTTTGTACTCTTGAAGTTAGGGTTGCACCGAACGTCAAATTTCATGCAAATTAGGAAAGAATATAATTTTCTGAAGACTTGATTTTATAGTAGATAATATTTAGTTTGATCGATCGAGCGGATATGGATTATATGTCGTAATATTGTATGGCAAAAATCTACTTCATAGACGCTACCTTTTCATTTATCCCGCTCAGCCTTTCTAGTGTGATTGAGCTACAAATAACTTAGCTAATTTAGCTCAAATAAAACCAAAGAAACTGCTTCTAGTTCATACACTAATCGTTTCGAAATGAAGACTTTTTAGCCGGTTTCAAAAAAAGGAGATTCTCAATTCGACTGTATATTTTTTTGATAATTTATGCTTCTTAATATTTTCGTCATTTCGTCAATGTGAACCGCCTTTATGATTTTTTTATTTACTTAGTAACTATTTTATTTAAATAGTCACTAAGTACCCTTATAAGTTTGGGGGGAAAATGACACTCGTAATTGTGAAAAAATAAAGGATTAAGTATGGACATGACATTCTAGTAGTTCCCTCAAAAGGGTCAAAAATTAAACTTTTAATAAAAAGTAAACACAAATGTAAAGAACTGAACAATTACAACTTTTAAATTCTTTTGTCGAGACTACAACATGTCTTAGCACTAATTTCAGAATGCGACATTGTTTTATATTTTTTTACTTTTTATTAACAGTATTTCCTGTTTAGACAACTACGGACAGAACATAAATTCGTATATCTTTGTTAATATGTTTATATTTTTTTTATTAATCTATCTAATTATCTAGCTATCCAAAAGCATGAAATAAATCATTACATTTTACAATTCCTCCTATTCAGTCCAAACAATATAGGTACTGGTAGATTCGCCAGCTGACGCGTTCTTGGAAGATTACTTTAAAAGGCCCTATGTATAATAGAGGCAGTACAATAGACTATGTACTTTAATAATTTTTCTTCTGATACTTTCGAATTAAGAATTAAAAATTCAATGAACTGATACCTCAGGGGCAGCTTATTTGCTTTATAATAAACTAATGTGTAGGTAATAATATAAACATAATAGGGTATTACACCCATTTTCAAAAATTTTAAATTTAAATGAATCATAGAGTGATAATGAACCACTATAATTTTTATATACTTTTTTAAAACCGAATAGTGTCATAAAATTACTTTTAATCTATCGTTTTAAAATTTTGCGTGAAAACGCTAGCCGCCATGCTGTTCAACTCTTGACTTCACTGTCTTTTATTTTGCCGATTTTTAAAGGAATAAGATACTTTTTAATATTTAATAGTGAGTTAACATCTAAATCATTGTTGTGTTGTGCCTGAATGCAAAAATACGAGCATAAGAACAATGGGACAGTTATGGATTCAAGTGCCAAGTATTTAAATATAAGAAATACTTGGTTAAAACTGGCAAGAAGATACCCGAATACATTGTCTACATAAACCAGACTATTCTTCTGTGACGATCATTTTGATGCAAGTATGATTATATTTAACTATCGTTTAATACAAAACAAAACATCATGAGGGAGGGAAGGCTATCGCAAGATCGCAAGTCAAATTTTGTAATAAATTACGTTAACTTAGATATTATAACTAATGATTGCTAATGATTGTAATTGTAGATAAAATAAACTATGATAGCTACTAAACTATGTTTTATCAAAATACACTCTGACCTGGTATTGTGCTTTTGTATAAACAAAAGTTGGTAATAGGTACTTACATTGATGTTTTAACATTCCTCAACACAACAGAACAAAAATTGGGGTTACATGCAAAAACATTTTCCAGCCATCAATTTATTTATCCTTGTTAGATTACTACTTTCTGCTTTTACGAATTCGTCTTCCATGATACCTTTTCAATAAAATTCGTAATAAAACTCAACAATCGTAATGATAACTTGAAAATTTCGAAATAACACACCATATTAGCTAGGTCTCTTAATCAGTGACACAGCACACTAATACCCTTAGACTGGATCAGTAAATTCGGTAGAATCCACTAGTTAGTTTGTGATCAGTTACGTCACGACATTTCTAATATGGCGGACAGCGTTTTGAAGATTTGAGGCAAACGAAACAAATATTCTTAAAATTGAAATATAAAAATCATGTAATTTTATAAACAGAAATAAATATTTCTCGTTTAATTTCTACAAAATTTATTATAAATATATATTTTTTGATTTTATTTTACATGGTGTAAAATAGCCTATTCTACCGAGATGGTGAATAAAATACTTTTAATTACTAATAATTAATTAATAATTAATAATGCAATTTTATAAACAGAAATCAATATTTCTCGTTTACTTTTTACAAAATCTATCATAAATATATTTGATTTTATTTTACATGGTGTAAAATAGCCTATTTCTCCGAGACGGTGAATAAAATACTTTTAACTTTTAATTACTTTTTCCTGCCAATGGTACTTTACACATTCCAATCCCAACTACAGATAACGTAGTTCTAGAATAAACAAACATTGTTTTGTAACGATATTTACGATTCTCTTATCACACGTCTAGGGCTGACAAATAGCATGCCCCTTGGACTTTGAGTCCACTCATGTAATCAATGGGTAATAAAATACGTAATGAGAGTCCGGCTTGCAGCGCTTGAACCGGACGTAACATAACATGGTAACCGAGACCACCGGATGTGAATAATGTTTATACTGATACTGTTTATTTGTACAAATCAAATAGATATTATTTTGTATATTTGAATTTTTTTCAAATCTTTAATTTAATAAAAAAAATTTACATTATACAATTAATGATTAATCCTTTTTTTAAACAGAAAATATTAGATAGACTTTACGAAGATCAAAGAATTTGTTTTACTTACTAGTAATACAATTAAAATAAATAAGAATGTACGTAAATAAAAAAAATATATATTTAAAAAAATCAAAAAAAAATTTTTAAAGAAAATTTAAAAATAATGCACTAAAAGGATCGAAAGAAGATTGAGAATACAAAACATAATTAAAATAAACTATAAACAAAGTAAAGTCTACTTCGGTTTAATAGACTACTATGAGCTGAAAGCCTAAGTAAAATATTAAGATTAACAGCAGGCGGGACTCAATGCAAATTATAAACCGAAAGAAAATTAATGGGTTCCATTCGATTTAATTTTATTTAACACTTTTTATGTAAGAACATAATAAAAAAAAACAAAACGAAGAAGCACCTAAGTTTTAAACACTTATGTATATTTTTGTAATCCCCTTTCAAATTCCATTATTTTGATATTCTATTCGATAGGTTTGGTTTATTACTATTTTGCGCCACAAACCCACCATTTTGCTCATTTAAAAACAGCTATCTAAGAACACTTTGCTTTATAAGACGAATAAAACGATACCTTAATTGTCGAAATCCATCTAGCCGTTTGCAAGATACGAGGTAATAAAGAAATTCACAAACATACAAGATCGCGTGAAAACATAACCTTTCCTTGGCAGTCGGGTAAAAAGGATTTTGGTTGTGTCACACCCTGCCTCGGGAAGCACGCAAAGCCGTTGGTCCTACATCTTCTTACCTACACCTTTCTCCGGTTGTGTCGGATTAGCGTGAGGTTTTGAGGCATGAGGGAATAGTGAGTTGAACTGTGCGTGTGTGTGTGAATACACTCGGGCGCTATAGTCCTGTTACTGCAGTTATCTAAACTCCGTTGAGATTACCCGCCATGAATTCGGTCTGAAATACACTATAATCTTAGATTATTGATAGGTCTTCGGCGCGAAGACCAGGTCTTCGGCGCGAAGACCTATCAATAATCTAAGACTATAATCATACCTATAAGTTAAGTTATTAATAAAATACAAATTATCTCTAGAAAATATCACACAATCTCCACTGTTTTTTATGAAACTTAAACATTATCCCTACCTCTCTTTAAATTGTGGCCTAACAATCGTTGATTATTGTTTACGTACTTAAATTAGTTACTAATTATCTCTGTACCTGTCTCTTTTAATAGTTATTTAGTGAAAAAAAAATAGAGCAACTTTAAGCATTACTCAATTTGACGGCGATTTTCAAGGGCTAAAAATGTACCTATTAGAATAAGGGCCGCTGTTAGTTGATCCTTATTAGGAGGATCTGTCGAAAGGACAAAAAATCAGGTACTCTTTCTGTGTGCGTTATCATAGTGGTGATCATAGTGACCAGCGCGGACGGCTGCGATGAGAGTGACGGCGCAGCGGAAGAGTCGGGGCGCGCGTGTGCTGCGCACGCGGTGCAGAAGGGCGCGCGTCTGCGCAGGAAGCTGCAGCGCAGGCTCACCAGGCAGGCACTCGCCGAGGCCAAGGCCATCAAGGAGCAGATACACGTGCTCGCGTACGTCGCAGAACTGGTCAGTTTTTTTTTTTAATAAACATGTGAATGGCCCCTTTTTTGTGGTTAGTAAAGGCAACAGCACCAGTAAGATAGTGGGTGCGTTTGGCAGAAAAAAGCGCTAGCAAGCGCTTATAAGCGCTAAAATAGTTTTCGGCCAGGACACGATTGCTACTTCAGTAGCGCTGACACAATCCGCCATTTTGCTTATTTAATTTGTTTGTTTTGAAGTAGAGTTTATAAGTTGTTTTGTGCAATATTAGTTTTAAGTAATATAATGACATGAATAAACATATACATGCTATTAAAACTCATGATTGGTAAGTTTTTAATATGAATACTTTACAAACATATATTTAAATTAGGTTAGATTCCCCGGTTAAAACTAACATCGTGTCCTGGAAGAAAATAGCTACTTACGATTTGACAGCGCTTACCGCTTACGATCGCCATTTTGCTTACAAGCGCTTGCTAGCGCTTTTTTCTGCCAAACGCACCCAGTGTAACATCATATTTTCTTTATTAAAGCGACAGGCTAACTTACAGTTCACCTGATGGTAAGTGGCTAGAGCAGCCCATTGGCAACTGCGACCAACTTCAAACAAAGAAGATTACAGAGTCGTTGTCGCCTCTGGGGACTAAGATGGGATGCCTTACATCCTGTATTTATACTGCCCTCTATAGGCTTCAAACCGTAACACAGCAGTTCACGCACTGCTATCTGGTGACAGAACTACATGAGAGGGTGGTTAACATAACCTAACATACTGACATAAAAGTAGTCCTATCACGTTAAAGCTCACTAACCCACCTAGGGTTGAGCTATGGTCAGACTCACTTAGGGTTTGTGGGTTATGGTTAGTGAGCGAAGCGCCAATACCTACGCACGGATCGTCGCAGCGAAGACTAAGTGTCGTCAAGGCAAATCTTTATGTCACTTGATGCACTCTTAAGAAACCCTAAATGCTCCAGTAGTGACTTTAAAAGGCTGAGAAATACGCACATTCATTTAAAGGATTTATTAAATCCAAGTATAAGCTAAGTCGAATTTCGTACACCTAACTATACTTTTTACATCGTCAGTTGCAACTTGCAACCTTACAAAATGGTACAACTTACTATCGATCGAAGATGATCATTCTGATGGCGAAAAATTAGTTGAGAAAATAAGCACCAGCTTTCAAATTTTGTAGTAGCGATAAATTTGACTTCAATCCGTGCCGAAACCAATGAAAACGTCACTATGATAAGTGTTAATTTACCACGTTTCCCACGATCGCTTTTACAAAAAAGTCCCGGAAACTATGCAAGCCTTATCTGTCAAAGGTTTAAAAATTTTATTAAGCAAAAATTGTTCAGTAAGGGTTATTAGACTACTAAAGAATACATGATCGATAATAATCCCTGGGAACGAGGTGATCGTTAGCATACTATTTCTAAATGTTTTCATAATACTGTTATAAAATAATGTATCGTAAATGAATTTTATTTAAAAAAGTTCCATTGAGTTTCTTGGTAGTGGTAGTACCAGTTACTCGACTCCACCGAGTCAGTAATTCATTCTTGGGGCGATGTATACGCTTTTACAACAAAATCCCAGAAAATATACAAAATTTGTCATACACAAAGTTTAAAAATGTTATTAAGCTAAGTTTGTACAAAAAGGGTTATTATACTATTAAGGAATTTATAGATGATAATAACCCCTGGGAAGAGGTGATCGCTACCAAGCTATTTCTAATTTGTCTTGTGTTGTTGATTCATGATTGTAAGCTATTATTGGAAAAAAATAGTCCGCTGGGTTTCGGTTTAGGAAGGGTTTTTTTGTGGTAAATTTGCAAGTATTTTTATAATCTACATTGAATAAAAAAGTTTCTATTTTATTTCTAGTTTCTTGCTGGTTCTTCCCAGAACAGAATTTTTTTTCCAAACCAGAGGTAAAAGGGAAAAAATTACTTTCAAAAAGAATTACATGTAACCTACATTAAATTAAAATGATTCTATTCTATTCTATAAAACTTATAACGGTTATCTCTGAGACATATTAAAACTAATTTTAATATTCCTGATTGCTGAAAACGAGGCATTCCATGTTGGTCCTCATGGGTCGCGTCTGCATTTTGATTCGTAATCGAGGATAGATGTAAATGTCTATGGGCCACAGCAGCCACTTACGATCAGGTGAACTGTGTGCTCGTTTGTCACCCTATCCTATAAAAAAATGATTCGGGGACATGCAAAATCCTTCTCATTCTCAAATCATCTATTACTAGGGACACTCTTCCCAGCTCCAAATTACTCTCAGAAATGAAAGGTTTGTGCCTAAAACCGAGATGTTTTTAGGTTGCAACTTTTCTTTTTTATATACTAACAGATAGCGACAGACCCTGTCCTTGCGTGGAAGAAGGCTAAGGAACTGTACGCGTCGTTGAGCCAGCCGGAGCCGGAAAATCAAGCGCGGCCCGCCACCGTGGAGGAGCTGCTCGTACTCATGGCGCGCGAAACGGCCAGAAAAGTCGTTCACCTTGTCAACTACACGAATCAGGATTTACCTAAGTAAGCTTACGCAATTCAATTAATCTTATACAAAACACTGTTCGAGTTTCCGAAGTGAAACTGATAGTTACTTTATGATTCAACAACCTTAATATCTCGCATTCTTCCGTGTAGCGACTAGCCCTACATCGGTGAGTCATACGAGTACAAATCATCACAAAATAATGCAATTTAATATTTACTAATCACTATAATTGATCATTCCTATGTTAACCATTGAATAGATTGGTAATTGGTAAAAAACTAATGGCAGTAATATCATGGATACACTAGATGTGCAAGAACATCTGAAAAAGAATCATCCCAGAGTGAGGGAATAGAGAGTGCAGGTGCACTCTCTACTCCAAACTATCATAATCCGATGGGACCGTAAACCGACACGACCGGAGAGAGATCAGGCGCAGGACTAACGGCTTTACGTGCTTACCGAGACACGGGGGTAAGACACTGCCAACTTCCTGACTCCGGGCAGCTACTAAGAATTTCTTGACAGAAAAACTCAATAGGTAATTGATTTTTTGGCCCGACCCGGGATTCGAACCCAGGACCTCATGATTGGCAGTCGCACTACTATAACCACTAGACCAATGCGGCAGTTAATAAAATATCAATAAAGTGTAGTTTTCAGGCTTTTCCTCTGCCTAGATCTAGTGATCTACATTGATGCCGAATTTCAAGTTTCTTAGTAACCTGGAAGTGGCCTGAGTTTTTAATGAGTCAGTGAGTGATAAAATAGCACTCTTCAGGCCTTAATAACTCAAGTATTTCATCTCCTCCTTACCAATGTAGAACTATTCAAATGAAAATTAATTTATACAATTGGAATTCCGGGTATTCAAAAGGGTCCTAATAAGTGTGCAAAATTACAAGTGTGTAATTTTCCACACTTATTAAGGCCCTTATTAATGTAGTTTTTGAGTTACGCTCTTTTCTTTTCCGACATTGGCTGACATACTGCCTTGTGTCTAGGTACAATTATTTAAAAAAAATTATATTTTGCAGAAATATACGGCAAGGAATGTCGCTAGTATCGAAGCATCTTTCTTCCGCTGCCGACGCACTGCTCAAGGTAAAATATGGCACTGAAACTGATAACTGGGATGTACTTTTAGGTCTATATAATATTCTCAATAAAAGTTTTCCAACGAAAAAGTGAAAAGATTCATTGTTATGATTACTTTGTAAACGAATTTCGGCACGATATATACCAAATCGGTATATACCAAAACACTGTATATTAAATAGAATGGCACTAGATAACAGAATTTTTTTTGTCGTGGGTGTGTAAAAGATATGGATATCCCAGAAATGTATAATGGCTTCTGATAGATAGCGGTAAAAATCTTTAGAGGTGCTCACATCTGCTTCTGCGAGCGTCAATCGTAAATCCTGCCTATAACGAGAAAGGCTGAAAGAGAGCAGTAGAGGAGAGCAGTCCACTGCTGGACATGAGCTCATGGACTTCATTGGATTTTCCCTCTTCTAAAGAGTCTCTCCCATAACATAAATGGCCAAATATTTATCTCTTTCTTTCTTTCTTTCTAACTAAACTGAAGTGCCAGACGAACTTGCAGTTTACCAGATGGTAATTGCCCGTCCATGAACACCCGCAGTCAAGTTTCAACAAAAAAATATTCACAAATTTCATCACTCACTCACGTCACATCTGAGACCAAGATAAAATGCATCACGGCCTGTAATTATACAAGGTGCAAGCTCTGTTTTTTTTATACAGAATTAGGGTGACAAACGAGCACACAGCCCACCTGATGGTAAGTGGAAACTGTGGCCCATAGACATCTGCATTTATCCTCGGTTGAGAAACAAAATGCAGATGCGTTGTCACCCGTGAGGAATAAGATGGAATGCCTCGTTTCCAGTAAAAGGTTCCCCGGTTTCTACACTCACCATAGGAAACACAACAGCATTGAGCTTCTATTTTACGCTGCTATTCCGTGAGAGCTTGTTCCCTCCGGTCGAGCCGACCCATTCGTGCTACAACCGTAATATAGCTGTAGCGTGCCTCTACCACGTCTAAAATTTCTCGTCATGATGAGTGAAAGAGTTGTGTTCAAAACCTTTCTTCGTTTTATATGGCTGATACCAAAATATAACATGTCGTTTTACAGACAATGCCGGTAGAAACTGCCTTAAATGAGGTACGAATCTGGCGCAGCAAACTGCAAGCCTTATTGCAGCAATTGCAAGACACTACCAAAATATATCTGGTGAGTACATAACTATAAAGGGTTAACTTCTAAACTAAGATGTATTTTTAGCTAATTTAAAGTTGGAAGGGTGTCAATGAGAGGAGACTTGTTGATCTGTCTAGAACTTTAATAAGACTACTACTTATTCGAAACTTGTGAAAGTCACGTGACGGGCCAAATCGAAAGTGCTTTAAAGATAATATAGCTTTTAAGTTAATATAGCTTTTAACTGATAAAATAATGTATTAAAATATTACAATACTAAATAAAATTATCATATCGAATCCATTCATAAGATTTATATTAAATTAGTCGTGTTTAGACCATCTAGCATCTATTTTATGGACCACCTTGAGTGAATCAATTTTTGTTCGATAAAATAACCTTATCTACATAATGTAGATGGCGCTATTACAAAGTAATTTTACTCGCAATTATTTGAAGGTTTCACTTCTGCCGCGTGTGAACTCCTTTAATAAAATTCATGTTTTTTTTTATATCCTACATAGATATTCTAAAAGCGTATGCTGGATTATCTATGATAAATTAGGAATTTTAATGTGTTTAAAATTAATTGTTTTACAGGAGCACCTAGCAACGTTCTTAGCAGGCAATGAAGAGCGGGAAAAAATCGCACCACGTTCTACGTACGAACAAAGAGATGATTTGGCTATCAATGGCGTGAACTAAATTTTAGAAAAGTACGAGTTATAATATTACATATATCTTATTAACTGATTTTTTACTAACTAAAAATATTATCAAGACTCAAATTGTTTCCAAAAATACTTAATTAACAATTATTTTGTGAAATTAAAAATAAATTGTAATTTTTAATAAGAATTGAAGTTTCACTTGGAGTAATATATTTTCATGAGTGTAATTTGGATATATCCAAATACGTTCTGGCACACATAGTCGAGCGGCCAGTGTTGCCATTTCCAAAGTTCAGAATATTTGGCTTAATGAGGAGTGTCGTCGTTGGTTTTCCAATAGAGATAACTTAAAAACCCACCTTAAAGTATTATATTCTGAACTATCATATAAATTACATAATATTGAATTTGATATTTTGGATGGGAAAGCCAGAGAACTTGCTTCAATGGCTGTTTACGAGAAATATCAAATTCAATCCCATAAGTTAAAACGACTTGTATCTTCTTCATTCCGTAAACGTAATAACGACATACATACTGAATATCACCAATTTTATCCCCGTGTTAAAAATCTTTCCGATGTCCAGTTTCCAACGGATGAGTTGTCTCTTTTACACAAAGGCCTAAAGTATAATTTAACACCTTCGGTCTCCCAAAGATCGTTAGAGACTGTGGCCGTTGACGCGGAGGTGGCTGTTGTGATCGGGAGGAAAGATAACATCGTTAAATTTTGTTAGCTAAAGAAATTCAGGATGTACCAGCATCTTCCCATTGCAATCATGAGTTTATAAAGTTGTTTGTGATGAATGCCACGCCGTTTACGTGGGTCAAACTGGTCGCAATTTCGGGACGCGCTATAAAGAGCATTTGGCCGCGTACAGAAATTGCAATCCTGATAAATCCCATTTTGCTAAACATCTCTTGGACACTGGACACAACCTAGCTAGCGACCATTCCTTTGAAGCCTTACATACTTGTCATAAGGGGCTGCGACCGTGTGTGCTGAAGCAGTTGGAGATTTTAAAAAAGTAATAATGGTAATTATGCACTGCTGAATGAACAAACAAATGTTTCTAATTCACCTCTGTTAAACATCTTTAAGGCTAATCTTTAATTATAATTTTAAGATTAATAATAATAAATAACTATAACAATATCAATAAAACAACAATACTAATAGTAATTAAAAATATTAATCATAACAATAATGATAATTAGTAGCAGATTTGTTATCACACGGCGCGGTCACTCGCTACTTTGGTGGGGAGCAATTGTGTCGGCGTGTATAAATAGCAGCTGTTTCGGCTCGCCGCTTTGCGCACTCCTTTCTGCTGCGCCCTCCTTTTTGCTGCGCCCTCCTTTCTGCCAAGGAGGGTCGCGTTCGTATACGGCTTAGAGATCTCTAGTCAGATCTTTAAGCCAGTTCCTAAAAGGTTGGGTTTAGTGGGTAAAAGTCACCACATAACCACGCAGCCGGCTGCGTGGTATGCTATGAACATTCCCAACCTCCCTCCCCCGCTTTCCGGAGGGTTGCCCATATTTGCTTCGGGCGCAAAAAAAATCTCGCCGCTCACTTAGCGGTCAGCCGCCGTAGAGTCTACATTACCTGAAGATGACTCGTGTAGAGGCGAAACACGTGTCGTATTATCGTCGATGGTGTGTCTTACCTGAAATAGTGGTGTTGGGAGTAGTGGTGCTGGGACTAGTGGTGACGGAGTTAGTGCATGCAATTGAGGGAGGGCGGGAGGTGCTCTTCAATCCAGGTAAGACACATCATTGTATTTATTTAGCGGAAGGTTACAAAAAAAATTATATTTTTATTTTTTATTATAATATCTAAGTTGTTTTCGAGTATAATATCTAGGATAAATTGTCCAACTAGATAAGTCCAACTTCGAAAGAGGTCAATCATGGATCCAACTTGGCCGCAGTGGCGTAGCTACCTCGGGGCTAGGCGGGGCAGCGCCCCGGGGCCCCAAGCTCAAGGAGCCCCTCGGCTTCCACGAACGATGTGCAAAAATTATATAATATCCTTCTTGAATAAATAATTTTTAATTTTAACTTTTTGTCCCACTGACCAACAAACCTCGAACTTTCAAACTGAAATCACAAAAATTTCTTCTACTTACGGAAGATAAACATCATTGGAGTGACAGTGGCGCCACTGCCGTGTAAACTATCAGCTCCGTGTACATTTTTAAATTAAAAATGGACTAATTCGATTGCAAATATTGCAAAAGTGATCAGTATGTGTAAAATTGTGAACATTAAAAGTGCTAACGTTATCCGTAGTTAAAATATAAAGACTATTGTGAGAAAACGACGATTGTTTATATTGTGAGCAAGTGACAGTGAAATTGACTAATTATGTGTAAATTAATATAAACTAGACTGTGCATTATTTACAAACTTAAAATAAACCAATGTGATACGAAACAGTGTGGAAAATTACAAATTTAGAACAAAAACAAGAACTATAAAAACCGTTAAGTTTAATTTTATTTAAATCGAGAACATTGTGTTTTGAACTATACCTCTTCACACAGTTCAATAAACAGTATATTTAAGTGAACTCGTGATATATGCCATCTATTGAACCTGGTGATAAACAAATGCCAAGAAATTGAACTAAGCTGTACAGGTTATGACACTTTACTTATGACACTTTACTTATTGTTTTCTTAATACTGACGCAAGATGGAGACTCACTGCATAAAGTGCAAAAAAATAATATCAAAACGCGATCATCAACAACTAGTACGTTGTGTAACTTGTACACAAAATTACCATGTAGACTGCACCAATGTCTCAAAACAGTCGGTTGAATAGCAGCTGTCCAGACCTTCACAGACTTAATATGGAAGAGATGATTGAAGAACTAAAGAAACAAAATAATAAATTAAAAGAAAAACTGCAAGTAGCCGAAAATGAGATAGAAAATTTGTTATTCGAAAATTCAAACCTAAAAAAATCATTGTCAAGCCACGAAACAAAAACAAAATATTTGGAAAAAATTTGTAGCTCGAACTCAAAAAAAAATATATTACAATTAGAAAAAACAGGAAAAGCTTAAGTGGTACTGCACTGAACTTTATGCAAGATGAAAAAGAGGAAAACAACACTAATTTGGTCCAAGAGGTGCATCCAGCGCCATCTAAGATTAAAACAACGAACTACGTTGAAAACTTCAATGATTCAAGCACCCCGAGTAATCGAAACCTAAAATCATCTTCCACCTATGCACTAGATGCCGCTTGCAGTAAAACAAAGAAGAAAAATATTCACATTATTGGCGATGAACAAGTACGAGGCCTAGCAGAAAAAATGAAACATCAGCGGTTCGGAAAATGGAACGATATCTATAAGGTTTGTGGAATAGTGAAACAGTTTGCGTCAAGCGCACAGGTACTAAAAAGTTGCGAAAATTTACACGAATATTTAACTCAGGATGATATATTAATTTTATCAGTGGGGTCTAACGATAAAAATCCCTTTGAAATAATAACAAATATATGTAATGCCTTATGTAATTTGAGAGAATGTAAGATATTTCTGTTAAGTATACAGCATAATAATTAGATTATATTACTCTTTACTCTCAGAATAGAATCCAATCAGTCGAAATCGCAAAACTTGACTCTAACCATGTAGCTGAAAATCACAGATCTGAGTTTAGGAAAATGACATTAGTGAAACTATAATTCTAATAATTAATTGGCTTAGAAATAATAATTTAATTATTAATATTGACAAAACGAATTTTATTAACTTTAATAATATACAAAATTTGACGTTAAACATAAATTATGAAGGACAAATACTTAAAAATACAATAACAACGAAATTCTTGGGTATAGAAATTGACCAAAAACTAGATTGGAAACAACAAGTCGAAAAAGTGTGCAATAAAATCAATCGTTTCGCGTTTGAAATTTATAAATTAACAAAAATAGCAGGAAAGAGCACAGCCCTTACTGCGTACTTTGCTTACGTTGAATCAGTCCTGCGATACGGATTCATTATATGGGGTATTAGCACAGATATAAAAAAGGCGTTCATTGCACAAAAAAAGTGTGTTACAGCTATATGTGGTACTGTACCTAACGAGCCATGTCAGCTAAAGTTGGGCGTTATAACATAATAATATATTTCATTACATATTTGTAATCTTATAACACATTAGAATAATGAACCATTGACTGTTATAATATATTCATTATTGTTAGAAAGCGTCATCTGTTTACGTTTACGGTCCAGCCGTCGGCCGAGACGCGGCACCTCAATGGGAGTCAATAAAATACTACATTCATTATGCCACAAGGATTGTGTATAGCTTACACTAATTTAAACTCTAAGCCAACTTAATAAGAGCTTATTTTACTAACACTAAATTATAACGGTAAACAAAAATATATTATTTCCTTCATTGCTAGCTGTTGCCTGTTGTGCCTGTTATTTAATTTTTTGGCTGTTGTAATATATTAGTGTTCAGTTAGCTGTCTAGCTGAAATGACACTGTTATCTGTTAAATTATATACTTAATGTTTTGATAGCAGGTCCCCATATTACGTGAAAAAGCTATTGTTGTTTTTGTTTATTTTTCGTTAAGTTTCATTCCTAAAGTAATTTTAAATATTTAGTGTAATATAGATAGGATTTAGCGTGTTGTATGTAAACATGTATAATAATTTCGCGTCAGCGTAGCGCAGCCATTTGGAACTATTTTATAGTCCAAAGTGTGGACGAAAAAAGCAGTGTGCAATTATTGCAAAAAAACTTTATCTTTCAAAAGTACAATTACAAATTTAAAGCTTCACCTTAAGCAAAGACACGTAGGAGTGTATGAAGAGTTTTGCCGTTTGTATTTAATATCGGATAGACGCACAAGGCTTACGTCGTCAAAAGTAAACCAAATAATGTTTTTGAATAGTAACTAAAAAAATTGTAAATAATTAACTAAAACTTTGACCACAGTGTAAATAATGTAAAAATTCAATCAAAATGTATATAACATCAATGAGCTTCTAACTACGC